GTGGAAAAATGCAGGATTTTCAGCCATTGAAGAAATGTAAATTGAAACAAAACATATCATAATACACCAATTAAACATTTTTCTTCTAACGATAAAAAATTGATTTGGACAGGGTTGTCAATCTCTCTTGTTTCTCCAAAGCCTGGACCAAGAGAACAATAAATCCATTAAATCTCTCTAAGGCACAATTCGGAAATATGTAAAAAGAACAATCATACTGTTCCTTTGTTTCAGCTCAGTTATTAAATTTGGGAGAAAAATGCATCAAAGAGAAGTCCCAAAGGGGCAAAAGAATTCTGCTCATTGTAATTTAAAACTCAGCAAACAAAGGTACTGAGTGGGCAGGGCTCTGGTGGTACTTGGTCCTTAGAAGCAACAAGTGACTTGCTAACTGTTTGCAGATGCTCTTGGAAGACAAGAGACCTCAGGTCAGAGACATAGGACGGTTATCGCTCCAGGCAAGAGCTGTAGCATTTGCTCCAGGGACATTTGTGCTCGGTCTCCACATTTCCCAAGTCCCATGGAGGTTACAGGAGGGCCTGTGATGGACACCCGCACCTGACCAGGGTGGGGGATGGACTACTGTGTTACAGGAGCAGAGCGCTGGCCTTGGGGGCTCATCTGCCTTCTACAGGGAGCAGAGGGAAGCTTGCCTTGTGCCCCGGGGGAGAGGTCGCCTCATCCCTTAAGGCCACCTGCTGCAAACACAACTCTGCCAAGTGGCCTGCGTGTGACCAGTCAGGGCCCTGGATCCTTGGTGTGCCCTACAGGAACGTGCCCGGGTACTTGGGACACACAGACCACCTCTCCCAACAATTCTTCCTTCGTTCCTTCAACACATCCGTTCAAATGTCTTCAATCCCCTTCTGCGTACACAGAATTAGATATAAGAAACAGCAGTGAGGAGGTTCTCTCCTTAGGAGGAGCTTAGATGTTAGTGGGGAAGGTAGGTAACAAAGAGGAATGAAATTCAACAACATGATGTCACGTGGCAAAGTGTTGTGAAGACAAAGCAGAACAGTGGGAGACAGAACAGCTTATAATTAATTCAGCTTTCTGATAAATTTAGATTTGTTCATTACAAAAAAAAACTTCTGCTATTAACAATGCAAGATCTGAAGACATTTGGTTTATTTTGTACATCTTTATTCAAAAGGTAAAATTAGGATATTTAGAATCTTCTTTTTTTAATAATAAGCCTCTTTCCTGTTGAAACCAATATTTTGATTCATAGATGCTTTGTTGCTCATTTCTTTTTCCTTTTGTTTATTTCCTCCATCAGAAAGTATGTTGCTGAGCCCCTGGGTCACTCAGTTGGTTAAGTGACTGCCTTTGGCTCAGGTCATGATCCTGGGAATCCCGGGGTCGAGTCCCACATCAGGGCTCCCTGATCAGTAGGAGTGGGGTGTCTGGGGGTGGGAGGTTCTGCTTCTCCTTCTGACCCTCCCCCTTCTCATGCTCTCTCTCCAAAAAAAATAAAATAAAATAAAAAATAAAAAACAAAAACTAGAAAGTGTGTTCCTGTATATTGTTTAAGCTTTACGTTCCTCCAACATATTTCGCAGTTACCTTGTCACTTTGGTTTTAAGCAGAGAGAATACCTTTAGAGAGAGGGAAAGATTGTCAACTGATGGTGGGCAGGGGGGTGGGCTGGAGACGGTGACACTGGAGCAGGAAAACCAGAATGGAGTCAGCCAATGAGCCTCTCCTGAGGGAAGAGCATCCCAGAGAGAAGGAACAACAACCCACCAAAGCCCAGAGAATGGAATGTGCTTGTCCCTTTCCAGAAAGCTGAGGCTGGGGTGGCTGGAGTGCAGAGAGGGAAACTGAGACGCGGGTGGAGAACCCCAAGCCGACCTGTAATTGAGACAATAGAGTCCATCCTTCCTTCCTTCCTCTCTCTCTCTCTCTCTTTCTTTCTTTTCTTTTCTTTTCTTTTCTTTTCTTTCTTAGACAAAGAGTGCTCACGAGAATGCACTAGGGGGTGGGGGTGGGGGGAGGAAGAGACTCTTAAGCAGGCTCCACGCCCAGGATAGAATTCAAATGAGCTCAATGAGCTTAATTGGAGCATGAGGCTCAGTCTCAGGACCCTGAGTTCAGGACCTGAGCCGAAATCAAGAGTTGGACCCATAACTGACTAAGCCACCCAGGTGCCCCAGAGACAACATAATTTTCTAACATGACAAACAGACTTTTTATATAAAGTAATTTCTAGAAAACGATTAAAGGAAAACAATCGGACTGGACCCCAGTCCAGTGCAGAGAGGGCAGCTTGGCTCCAATGACACATGGGCTAGCGGGTGGGGAAAGAGTCAGAAGAGCTGAGTCCCAGCTGTGAGGCACAAGGCAGGGCCACAGACCTCTCTGTTCTCCATCTGTGAATGGGAATGAGGCCTAAAATGGTGTGGGTAAGATCAAGGGAAATAAAATATGTGCAAGAATTTTCTTGCTACCAATGTTGGAGTCACTGCAATTGAACAAACAGGATCTACATCAAAGATCGCAAGAGAACTAAATGGAAGGTTTAAACTCAAAGTTAAATAGTAGCAAATGGTCACCCGGATAAGGAACACTTCCTCAACCCTCTGCCACGGGCTTCCTCTAACTACACGGTTCTGTGATCATCTCCTGGCAGATGTAATTAGCCTCATTTCTGAAATGAGGAAACAGAGTCTAAGTTGCCCAAAGTCTCTCAAGTACTAAATGGCACATTATAAAATATGCAACTATGAAGAGACTATAGAGCAACACAGAACATGTTAAGCAAAATCTGCAAAAAGAAAAAAAAAAACTGATTTTAGGCTTAAAAAAATGCATGTGGCTGGGAGCAAAGGGACGAGAACAATAGTGAGCTAGGTACCTGACTGGGGCAACAGGAGTTCTGTCACATTTTTTGTGTTCTTCGTTCTTGTTACAGTGTTGCCCAATAAAATGGGGAGCACATTATTGTGAAACTATTTCAAAGGCTGGTCCCCATTTTCTGTTCAAGGACTGTTCTCATCATGTGAGTTTTCTCAAAAACCATCCAACATCCCACTTTTTCCAAGACCAAATGCAAAAACCCTGCTCCTTGGCCTTTACACTGCAGGTCTGTCTCCTTGACCCCAGCCTTTCATGCTCCTACCAAGTGCAACCCTCCATCTGGCCCACTTCCTCCCTGCATTTCAGGAAACAGGAAGCCTTCGCTGACCACAACATCCCCATCTTTGTGATCCCGAACAGCCCATTTCTGGGGTGGACACTTAGGCCTGTTAAGTGCTTTTTACTTCCTTGCAGGTTGCTTCCTCTGCCCCACGAGTCTGCTATCAAGTGTGCGTGTGTACGCAAGGACCAGCGCACAGAGTATGCAGAAAGCAGAAAGTACCTATTTATTAAGCGGATAAAGAAGGGAGAGCAGAGGAGAAGGACATTTGTGGGGTCTCCTTCCTGCTGGGTCCAGATCTCCAAACACTGCCCCAGCGGCCAGGTATGGGACTGCTCCAGGGAAGAAAACACTTCCATCTGCTACAGCCTCAGGGGCCTTTCTAGAATGCATCTCTCTGGGAGCGGACTCTCAGGGTGCAGTGCCCCCTCTATGGCTGTTCCTGGGATGTCATAAGAAGCCAGTGGAGGACTTCCGGTCTGCTGCAGTGAAAATAAAAGGGATGCTTTGGGCTCTGTGTTGGTGTTTCTAACCTATGCCCAGGAACAGAAGTAATGCAGCCTCGGGTTGAATTCATTTTGACTGAACTATTTTTTAAAAGTGTGAGACTGAGGGGTGCCTGGGTGGCTCAGTCATTAGGTGTCTGCCTTCCCCTTGGGTCCTGGGACTCTGGCCCTGCATTGGGCTCCCTGCCCAGCAGGAAGCCTGCTTTTTCCCTCTGGCACTCCCCCTGCTTGTGTTCCTTCTCCTCTCTCACTGACTCTCTTACCTGTCAAGTAAATAAAATCTTAAAAAAAAAAAAAGTCTGAGGCTGAAAATGGGGGAGAGCAGTAGAAGGTTAGGGGGATTTTGTCCCTTCCAATCTGTTTCTGCCTTTGCCTGAGGGTCAACAAAAAATAATTCCCAGCCTTAACCTTGATCTGAAGACCTGGAAGATATGTAACATAGTCAGAGACGTTAGCAAACACAAGGGGGCGGGGTGGGAAGGACAGATGGGGATGTGGTGGGGCAGGGTTAGGGATGGCGGTGATGGGTTCTAAAAGCTACCTCTCAGGGACCTCTGCCACACTGCCTAGAGGCAGCGCTCTTCCTGCCCAGAGCCAGAGAGAACTTCTCAAGGCACCGTGAAGCCCCTGACAGCTAGAAGTGAAGGATGGAGGCGGCGTTAGGGTCTCTCCCTTTGTGTACCTCACTACCCGAACCTCCTCTTTCAGGTATGCGTGGGATCGTGATTCCATGAGACCAGAACTCCTCCGTCTGGGAGAGGGGTTGGGGGGCGCCTCTGTTTCTCGATGTTAAACCGTGCCACCAGGAGGATCCCAAAGGTCCGCGAAGGTGGCGGCTACAGAAAGGCTGAGCGATCCTGAACCTTCTCCCGAGACAGCCGCAGTTAGGGTTCTCTCCGCAGGGCGGAGGTGGGGAGCCCCGCGCGGCGGCGGCGGCATGATGGCTTGCCTGGTGTTCAGCACCCGCCCTCTCCGGTGCAGCCCGGCCCCTGCGGCCGCCCGCTGTGGGTCGGAGCACCTCTCCAAGCCCGCCCCTGCGCGCGGACACTCGGCGGCGCTCCCAGATTCCCAGCCCTGTGACAGCCCGTTGCCCCGGGGACGGGGCGGAGAGGTGGGAGGGCCCGGCGCGCCGAGCCCAGCTGGACTCCCAAGGGGTCCCAGTCTTTTTCCCTCCACTGGAAAGGAAGTCCACGAGGGCTCCGAGCCAAAAGGGGGCTGTGAACCAAGGAGGGACAGGGTAGGGTGACCTGGACACCTGCCCACCGTCCTCCCGGGGCACGCAGCGACCCCTTCCACGCCCGCACCTGCCGGGTCCAGGCGAGCCCCGGGAGGAGCGCTTGTGTCCCCTGTCGGGAAGCCGGGATCCCGCGCCGCGCGCCATGGAAGCCAGTAACCTCTCGACCGCCACCGGCGTCGCCCTTCCCCTGTGCTCCGAAGCCTGCAGCATGGGCCCGAGCCCCAGCGGGGTCGTCGGGTTGACGACCGCGGGCTATTCCGCCCTGCCGGGCCGCGAGCCGCCTTTCTCCGTCTTCACGGTGCTGGTGGTGACGCTGCTGGTGCTGCTGATCGCGGCCACTTTCCTGTGGAACCTGCTGGTTCTGGTCACCATTCTGCGCGTCCGCGCCTTCCATCGTGTGCCGCACAATTTGGTGGCCTCGACGGCCGTGTCAGACGTACTCGTGGCGGCGCTGGTGATGCCCCTGAGCCTGGTAAGCGAGTTATCCGCCGGGCGACGCTGGCGGTTGGGCCGGAGCCTGTGCCACGTGTGGATCTCCTTCGACGTGCTGTGTTGCACCGCCAGCATCTGGAACGTGGCGGCCATCGCCCTGGACCGCTACTGGACCATCACGCGCCACCTGCAGTACACGCTGCGCACCCGCCGCCGCGCCTCGGCGCTCATGATCGCGCTCACCTGGGCGCTCTCGGCGCTCATCGCCCTAGCGCCGCTGCTCTTCGGCTGGGGTGAGGCGTACGATGCGCGGCGCCAGCGCTGCCAGGTGAGCCAGGAGCCCTCCTACGCCGTCTTCTCCACCTGCGGCGCCTTCTACCTGCCGCTCGGCGTGGTGCTGTTCGTGTACTGGAAGATCTACAAGGCGGCCAAGTTTCGTTTCGGCCGCCGCCGCCGGGCCGTGCTGCCGCTGCCCGCCCCTGTGCAGGTGAGGAGCGGGCCGCCTAACAGGTGGTCGAGGGGGGAGGTCAGGGCTTGGCCCCCGCGAGAGCTGGCGGCGGAAGATGGCACCCTCCGGGCGCGCACCGGGAGCGCAAGGGGAATTTGTCATCTGCTCTCCCGGAGCGCGCACTGAGGGGCGCCTCACCAGCGCACCTGCGCTCTCCCGGAGCGCGCACTGAGGGGCGCCTCACCAGCGCACCTGCGCTCTCCCGGAGCGCGCACTGAGGGGCGCGCACGCGGCGGGGGGCTTGCGGACCCGGCGCGCGGGTGAAGGGGTTTCACCAAGCGTGCACAGGGCCTCGCGGGGGCCGCGGGCGCACGCGGGTGCACGCGGCCCAAGGAGGCTTGCAGGGGCAGCATTGCCGGTAGTGTTGAGGGCACGACCCATGAGCCGCACCCTTGGTGCTTTCTCCAGGGGTGGCTGTGTCCCTATGACTCCTGCAGCCGGCCACTTCCTGGTGCCGAGGAGACAGAGCGAGACTGCGGCGCGCTGGGAGTGTGTCCTGCAGAGTTCCACATTCCCGGGGTTTCCTTCTCCGCTGTGCCCTGGTCCATCCTCTGCAAGCTAGAAACGGATCTCGAACTCTGTCTGCCAGCTCCCTGCCAGAGAGGAAGTGAGTGTAAAATCTAGCCCAAGTATCACTTTCCTCTTAGTACCCCAACCTCAGTGCTTTCCTCTAGCGACTTTGGAAGGAGAGAGAACCGTCGATTCAAATCCCAGCCTGGGACATGGGGGCTAGTTGCTTCATCTCTGCGGGCCTCTTTTCCACATCTTTAAACAAGTTCATTCCTGCTTCAGAGGGTTCTTGGTGAGGAAGGATCACACGAGATGGAGTGTGGGAGGAACCAGCACACTGCCTGGCACCCCGGGGCGCGGGTGAAGGGGCAGAGCTGGCTGGAGTAGGCATCAACGGGGTGTTGCCCAGAGGCCCGCACTGGTCCAGATCATAATCCTGGAAATGAATGAGTCAGAGGAACACGCATTTGGCAGAACTTCTCTGATTGCCTTTAGAACTGGAACTTTCTGTCTTTTGGCCTCCTCAACCTAGAAGCCCCAAACTTTCCTTTTTTTGGGGGGGGGGGTGGTGGTCAGGCTCCGAGTCCTGGAGAATAATAAGAGGATTTTTTTTTTTTTGTCCCTTCCCAAATACAGTAGAGTAGTTGCCCTTTGTCCACAGGCATACCTTCCAAGACCCCCAGGAGATGCCTAAAACTGCAGAGAGTGCTGAATCATAGATACTGGTTTTTTTCCTATACATACTTACCTAAGATAGAGTTTAATTTATAAATTAGACACAGAGGTTAACAACATTCCTAATGATAAAAAAGGACAATTATAATAATATAATAAAAACTATGTGAATGTGATCTCTCTCAAAATATTTTACTGTACTCACCTTTCCTCTGGTGATGCTGTGAGATGATAAAATGCCCACGTGATGAGATGAAGCGGGGTGATGGCGTAGGCATTGTGACGTCATGTTAGGCTACCACTTACCTGGAGGACTCAGGAGAATCGTCTACTTCCGGACCTTGGTTGATGACAGATAACTGAAACTTCAAGAAGGGAAGCAAAAGCATGAAAAAGAAGGAGGAGGGGGAGATCACTATGCATGGCTCAAGGAAGGACTGCTGGTGGGAGGGGGCCGGGGGTAAGGGACAGTAAGTTTTCTGTTGTTAGTTTTGTTTTAATTTTGGAAAGTTAACTCAGATACGTAGGCTACTCAAACATATGTGTTTTAAAAAGCAGACTTTTTCCTCTTCATTAAATGGCAGAGGGATTTTGTAGCATAAAATAGGAATGTCAAGGCTATAATTAGAAAGTGTTGGTAGGGGAGAGCTTTATTCAGAATTAATGATGTTCTTTGAAAGGTCCCTTGGAAATGCCTGGGATGATTATAGCTTTTCTGTCTGATTGCAGAGGTAGGCTGACTTTGAATAGCTACATCAATCCAATGTGCACCTAGAGAAATCATGGTGGAATGGTTGCCAGAAAGGCTTGCCAAACCTGAGTTTGGCATTCATTTTTGAAAGCGCCCATTCAGGCAGGTGATAGATACCATGAAGGGAGTTAACAGGAACCTGGCCAATCTGGGGTGGCCATGGGTGGAGAGAAAGAGCTCTGGGAGGCAGGGCCAGTGCTTTGATTTTCCATTTGCTGGCAGTGGACCCAGGGCAAGCCCTTCCCCTGCTTTGGACTGCAAGTTCTCTTCTCTAAAACACAGTATCCATCTAAGCTATGGCTGGGACTCTCGAGTCACGTGATGTTGAGATTGTAGATGGGATGATATCGGAGAGCATCCTGCTTCCTTAGGCTTTGGGCAGCCCTCACTCAGATGCCTGGGGATGCTGCTCAGTCAGCATCTACAAGCTTTCTGGATACAAGACACCTGAATGGAAACTTAGAATAATATACCCGTAATACTAACTCTCTACCTTCCCCTCTCCCCGCTGCCATTTCCCACACTCTAGGGAAAATGAGTTGAATTTAGGTGCTGCAATGTGTCTGTACTGCTTTCTGTGGGGGGACAGAAACACTTATGGAGTCTGAAGGCTCTGGTAATAGGGCTGTGTACATCCTTCATTTTTTTCGCCATTCTGTGGCCAGGTCCCAACACTGAGATACAATCAGGAAGGGATGAGCCACATTCCTGGGCAGTGATTTAATTCTCTGGGGGCAAAATGCAGTTTTGGAAAGTAGAACTTTCCAACGTTTACTAAGTGAGTCCTGTCATCCAGACACTGTGTTGGACGCTCTGCCTCCAACTTCTCATTTCATCTCCATGACCCAGCTGTGTTGGCCTTATCATCTCGATCAGTCCAGATAAGCTAAGACATGTTCAGCCACACATAACCCCCAAATGGACAGCTTATCTCACTCTCAAGAGTTCAAGGTGGGTCCCCTCCCACAGAGCTCTCTGCCTGGCAGCAACTCATAGGTCTGGACCCCTTGCCATTACCTCGCTCTGTGGTCTGGAATGACTGGCTTCCAGGTTGCTGCGCGAGGGGAAGGGATGGATGGAAATATAGTAGCTTTTAGCTGCCTTCCCCTAAAGTAGACACATGTCAGTTCTGTCCTCAGCCTTGGCCAGCCCTGGACATCCAGGGAAGCGTGTGGATAATTTGGTGAATACTGTTTTTACCACCAGCCCTCATCTTCTAGTTGATGAACCTAAGTCACCACAAAGTCAGTTCAGCTACGACCACAGAGTTATCGAGTGGAGAAGCTGAGGTCACTGTTCTTAACTTTGTCATTCCTCCATGCTGTCTGCCTCCAGGGACTTAACTGCTGAGCATCGTTCCATCGCCCGCAGAAACCTCACCTTCACAGGAAGGAGGCAGCCATATCCCAGTCAAGGTGGGGCATCATGGGAGCAGGGTCTCAAAACTATGCTCCCAGGAGAACTGACCACAGCTGAGCATGGAGGCACTCAGGAGGCAGGGTTCATGCCCACCCTGCCCTCCTTTTCTTCAGATTTCTAGAATGAGCACCACATATAGAGTGTGTTTTGGGCTCCCCCAACCCTGCCAAACGACCCCCACGGGTCATGATTATTTTCCACTGGCCTGTGCCCTCTACTATTGAGAAGAAGAAAAAAGCAAAATCAATGGAGATTATGTCTTTGGCTTTTAAAATGTGACCTCAAAACTTTTTTTTTTCAATTGTTTGATTGCTGTGCACATGTTCATGAGCAGGGCCTAATTATTCATTAGGCACAGTAGCCACAGTACTTTTAGGGGCCCATGGAAATGGTTTGATTTTAATTTCTTTTAAAATTAGGGGAAGAATGAATGTAAGAGCAATGAATATATAATAATGTAGCCAGCCTCAGTTATAGTAGTCTTCATAATAATATGGTCATAAAATATAATTTTTAATATTTCTTAATGGAGGCAGGGGCCCACAGAGGCAGAGACACCTGGGGCTCATGAATGTGATTACGCCGACACCCTTCATTCACTCACTCACTCACTCAGTAAACATGTGGTGGTAGACAGTGTGCCTAGTGGTTAAGAGCAGGGGATTTGGAAGCAAGGAGACCTGGATATCAGTTCTTTTTGTGCCACTTATTAGCACTGTAGCCAAGAGACTTAATTTAAGCCTGCATTTCCCCATAGGTAAAATGGAAGTATGGCCACCTGCTTATAATATTCTTGTGATGAGTAAATGAGTTAATGGTGTATACGGGGTATCGAAAATAGCAAACCAAGAATGCAAGCTGCTGCAGCATCTTCGTTATTATTCTTTACAATTCCTCTTGTAAGTTATAAATAATGAATTATGTTTTTATTCTTATTACTACTATTACTCACCATCCTAATTGGGGAGTTACTTCTCGCTTGTGTAACAAACTAGCCCAAAGCTTAGTGGTGTAAAACAACAAACACGTATTAACCCACAGTTTCCGGTGGGTCAGACATGGGAATGGCTTTGCCCTTCTGGGCCCCAGGTCTCATGTGGTTGTAGCCAAAATGTCGGGTGGGGCTGTGGTCATTTGAAGGCTTGACTGGAGCTGGAGACTGCTTCCAAGATGGCTGACTCACATGGCTGTTAGCAGGAGGCCTCCCCAGGGCTGCTTGGGTGTTGTCACAACATGGCGGCTGACTTCCCTTTTTCCTGGAGAGCACAGCAAGGAGGAAACTGCAAATGCCTTTTACAAACTGGTCTCAGAAGTTACATGAGATCTCTTTCCCTATAGTCTATTCACTAGAAGTGAGTCACCAACTGCAGCCCACACCCAAGGGAAGGGGAATTAGGCTCCACCTTTGGAAAAGTATCAGTGAACTTGTGGACAGATTTTAAAGCCACTGCCATAAGACACACAGATGGTGCTCAGAATTACTTGATTGACTGTTACTGACCTGCAGATCAGGCAATGTAGCAGCCTCTGAAGTTTCAAAGAATTTGAGTGAGCAAGGTCTCTGTTCTCCAGGGATTAATTTTAGTAGACCACAACTATAGAATTAAAAATTCAATAAAGTCTT